AGCAACTAATTTGTTTCTTCACCTTTTCTATGCTTGTGTTAGTCTGTTTTTGTGTTACAGTAATAAGGTTACTTATACATAAAAAGAAAATGCTCTCAGGAAAAATGCATAATTTTTTAAATTACTGCTATAATTTAGAACGTTAAGGAAGGAACTTTCGCCCAGTTTGATAACAGTTTATATCCTTATACAAAAATCATTGTGTTCAATCCGATATGATTTTTTGTCCCGGAAACGAAGCTAGTGAAATTAGTGACAATGATACGTGAAAGAGAATTTAAATGTTAAAAAATATAAAGAAAAGAACGAATACTATCGGTTACTTTAGATTAAAGATACTCGTTAAATCAGATAAATGCGACGGCTCACTTGAAACTGAAGGACAAGAAGTTTTTTTAGAGGTACAAACATTTTATTTCAATTATTTGCAACAAACCGCTTTATTACAAACTCATATCTATTTTTAAAATCTTTAAACTACTGTTCTAATCACAGTCTCGCCATAAACTGAGGCGTTGCCACTCCTTTTCAAACAAAGTGCCAACTGAGGCAATTCGCTTACCATAAGTGGCGCAACAAATACTGTTCTTACTTATTTCTTATCAGGAACTGGACAGATATTAAAAACCAGGCTAATTTTTCTGTAATGAAGGATGCCTTTTATTTGAGGACAACGCATGTGAAACTTGAAACATTTAGTAATTTAGTAGATTCTTCATTATTTAATTTCTTTAAATACAATACAAGGCGAAAATATTTTGGGACAACATTTTGACATCAATAATATTTTGTGGCAACATCTAAACAAGACTTTTAGAGTGATTCAATGCAAAGTGCCTTTTCGCGACTAATGGAGCTTCTGGGCAAACGTTCCTTTGGGTTAATAAGCAAATTTATTTTTTCTTCTTTGATCTAAATTTAGCTTCAGTGAATCTAAAGTGAAATTTAGCAATATGACAAATCAATTTCAAATAAACGCAATGGCTTAGTATAACAGGAAGTTAATATACAAGAACTTTACTTAACTAAATGACAACATTGTTTTGGGCCAATCTAATGCGGAGATAAAGGCAGAACTATGCCAAATGTTTCTTAGCCTAGAATTCGAGACCATTCCAATAAAATTGAAATACTTTTTATTATCAAGCTAAGAGTAGTTGAAATTGTTAAAAATTCAGGTCTGAAGTTTTTTATGTCTTCGACAATAAGTTGTTTGCAAAATATAAAGTAATACAAAAGGTAATTCTGCGATGAAGATATGCTGGAACTTTAAAAGACATCTTGCATTGGTACAATAAAATCAAAGTACTTATTCAATAATTCGCAAAAAAAATTATTGTTAAAATGCTATGTCTTTAGTGAAGTCTTTAATATAAAATGACAGCAAATCGCCTTAAAAACACTACTTGGTTTCCTCATCATAGCTCAGATTGGCACAATAGTTCATGTAAACACAAATGTATTTAAATTAACTTTAGTCTTATACTACTTACTTCAATTTCAAGTCTTAACTGAAACTTAACTTTGACTGTCAAGTCTTAACTTTAACATCTTTAAATGAGATTTGTTTGTTACATAAATTTATTTAAAAAGCATAACATTGTTCGTTTTCCTGCAGACATATATGTTGCTAACAAAAGTTTAAGGGCCAAGAAAAAATAACTTGTTGAAATTGACAGTGTTCTTGAGGATCCTGAAAGAGCAAGAACATTATAAAACTAAAAGCCAGTAATCTGTTTCTTCTCTGAGTAGCTGTGGAGAACACTAACAAGGCATTGCATCGCATCAATGAATAATCTGAGGTAACCGCCTCCGTTACTGAAGGAGATATTTCCGGTTGATTAGGTGACATCAAATATTACACAATTCAAGAATATAGATTTTTCTCGGGAAACAGAGAATGTATTAGTTCAGTGAATATTCGAATCTAACATACAATTTTTATATGTATGTGTATGTATGTATATTTCTTGCATTGTTCGTTTCTCTCATATCACTGGCGTCTTCTTTAGACTGAAAAGAACTGGTATTTGAGATGAGTAATATAACTAAGAAATTTCATAGCATATATACATTTCTTATTTATTTTGTTTAACTATTTAAATAATCATTAAAAACATATAAAGAAAATATCTTATATGAATGAATACATGATAGTTTAAAGAATAAAACAGAAATTAATAATTAAGAAAACCCTGAAAGCTTTCAAATTTTATATTACGCCCAAAACACTGTTTTTTTTTTTTTTAACATTTGGTGTGTTACCTTTATTTATTAAATATCAAGTTCATCGCTCTTAAAGCACATAAAATTCAGCTCAACAACAATATCATAAAATATTAAAGACAGCATATCTTTAGAATTTTCGATAGACAGTCTCATACGTTAGAGGTTAAAAATGTCTTTTTTTTTTTCGTACAATGTTGTCATTGCTCGCTTTGAAATCTTTGAGTTTGTCAAGAAAAATTTCGTCAAAGTTTACAAAATTTGTAATAGATAATAAAACAAATTCAGAATTCAAAATTCGGGCTTCCAAGTGCCCATTCTCGGTTGGAAGACTACGCTACTCAAAATTTGGTGGCTCTAAGTACCGCTGTTTTTTAACAATGCGAGAAACATTCATGCATTCATGTAGATTCTTCATTATTTAGTTTCATTAAATATAATACATGGCGATAATATTTGGCGGCAACAGTTTGAAGAGTGAATCGACGCAAAATGCCATTTTGAAATTAATAGCCCTTTTGGGCCAATGCCCTTTGGGCTAAAAAAACAAAGTTGATCAGTCTAAGACATCAGACTCAAGAAAGATGGCTCTTAATGGAATGATACTTTTCTGGCACGGTATATCCTGATGGAAATTTGTCCTTTTGTTCTTCCAAGTTACCGAAACGTGCCGAGTAAAAGTAAACAGACGAAGGATTATAAGGTATTTTCTCCCACCTTTCCGCATGCCTTCTTGGTGTATCAAGTACATTCGACGCGTATTTTGGAGGCCAGAGTTCGAATCCCGGTAAGAGTATTGTTCATTTTTCGCGTCTCTAGCATCAAACTTCCTAAGGACTCTACAGTGGCACCCAAACTAAAAGGTGGTGGAGGATAAATCGTGGAGGATTTGTCGATCGCGTCCCCCTAATACCCAATAGCCCTTTAAAAGGGGAATTATATAATTTTATCCCTCCTTTCTGCATGCTTTCGTGGTGTAACTGGAAGAACATCCGAAGCGTATTCAGGAGGTCCGGAGGTCGAATGAAACCCGGCGAGGGAGCTACACACTTTTTCATGTCTCCAGCATAAAAAATCTTTATGACTCTACAGGATAACTGCACTTAATATTTCTAGAGTTTTGCAAGGATTTTCATTTATATGATAACTTATGCTTCTGAAATAGATATTTAATTAGGTTGTTCATTACATCAGAGCATTCCCCACACAATGGATATTTTTTTAGAGGATTCCCTGAGTTAAGTTGGCCCATATTCATGTTACAAATAAAGCCATGAAAACACATTGTCTTCGATAGCTCGGGTCAAATTACAAGAGATCTTATCGACTATTTCATTGGCAGACCTCAGATTCAGATGAATAAGAGAACTGGTTTCTTTCAGTTACTGTGCATCTTTACGTAATTTTTTAATTATCCCATAAGGATTTTTAGCATTGTCTTAGTGATTAATGTTATCGTTAATAAGAGACGTAGCCTTTTACAAAGATAGTTAAAATGAAATCTTTATATTTTGCTTTACACCGAAATATCATACGCATGGAAATTTTGGAAGCGAGATAAGAACCAATCTTCAATATGTGTTTATTAATAATATAAATGTATTGGAAGTAAATTATATTAGGGATATCATTAGGAAATTTATGTTAACATTCAAATCTCAATAGTATTTGTCTAAAGAAGATTAATAATAAACATAATGAATATCCTGAAAAATGCACAAAGAAAACAACTCACTCAAACATTCCTCTAATAAATGAATTTTAACAGCTTCTTTGCTGACATATTAAATATATATTGGAAAGTACTAAAAACTTTCAAGTGCTTCATAAAATAGTCAATGGCTTTATCCAGAACAGCATTTACAAAATATTGCTTTGATCAGACTTAATAATGAATTAATCTTACAGAAGTACAATTTAAAAGCGACACAAATACGTTGAACATTTAGTCGTAAATTCCCTGATCTATAAAACCTGAACAGTTATTCGTTTATTTTGTAAGACAGACTAATGCAGGAATTAACTGAAAATCAAATTTTCGGCACATTAACAAGAGTTTCATTAACCATTTCATCGTTCGTAACGCGCTTCAAGCGTTCTTCTACAGTGAGAGATGGCTTCAACGTCTACTGAGCAGAAAAAGAGAAAAAATGAGATTGTGAATTGGAAAGACAAGAAGGATATACGTTTGATGAGTACAGTCCATAATAACTCTATGATTGATGTTGGGACACGGAAAAGAACTGTAAAAAAAACATAATTGTAAAAGATTACAACAAAATGGGAAGAGTGGACCGCCTGGATCAAATGTTATCAAATTATCCTGCTGTTAGAAATAAGCAGAGATATTATTTTTCCATTATGCTTTATTTCCTTATAATTTTACTTAATATTCATTGACATTCATCCTCTACGAAAGTCATGTATGTAAAGTTATGATGTACAGAGAAAACAACATTGTACGCTACGAAAAACAGACGGCCGCTGGGGAGGGGGGATTTTCACGGACAGGAGAGGACGGCGAAAGGGTTAATTATTGCGAAAAAAAATCAGTTAAGAAGAACAAGCACACACAAAATAAATATATAAAAAAATCTGTATTTCAAAAGAACTAGAATAAATTGTTTCGCTTAGAACTCTGCGATGCTTTTTATATCGCGAAGATGCTCTTAGACAAATCTATCAATTTTTCTTGATAGCTATGAAACGAAAATTACACATCCAGCGGGAAAAATGTCTCGGTGATGGATATGCCTATCAAGGTACTTAGTTACCTTTATTCCAGATCTGCGACATTTCTTTATTGCTTCTGGCACGGAAGGTCTGGGCGGATCAATCATAGACATCAGACCCAGGAAACGGAGGCCTTTGAATGGAATATTATCTTCTCGAAAGGTATATCCCAATGGAAATTTGTCCTTTGGTAGTTCCAAGTCACAGAAACCTGCCAAATAAATACTGAAGCATGTAGGATAATCCTACTTAACATAATAATCTTAGAGTTTCGTAACCGTATACAGTATTTTTACAGCTAAATAATAAATTTAATAAATTAAAATAGTATGTTTAAAATCATTTTAAAACATAATATTTAAGAGTTTTTCATCTGTATGTTATCAGAAAATAGGAAAAGTTACAGAATAAGAGGGCTAGAATTATCATATTTCTTAATGATATAAAGACAAAAATTTTAATTTCTGCGTTTAAGGAGATTTCTTAACAAGCTATCATCTAAAAACATGCGGCCCACTTGTATTGATCTGACCTGATCGCAAAAGAAGGGACATGCTCTATTACTTGAATTTAACAGTTAAGGAGAGGCTATTTGTTGCTACATACTCCGGACAGGTTGTGATTATTGTTTAAAGATTTACTAACAATTAAGCTTAACCAGTTCACTGTCCTCCAAATCTCAAATATTTTTACCTACTTTTTTCCCAAAGATAAGATATCGCCTTTGAAATTGGCCTCAGTTTACGATCTTTCGTTAGATATTATTGACCTACTTGTTGCACTCAAGCATGTTAAATAACATCACCTTACCCAGGAGAATAATTCCTTTTTGTTCCTTGGTGTCTTATCTGAAAATTATTAAAAATGATTCCCTAAAAACACGCTTTTAAACGAGCAGTAATTCCCATTGCAATACTAGCGGAAAGGGTGGTGAAAGTGCATTCATATTTCCCGTGTTTTTAAGTAAACTTTGATGTGTATGATCCTGATACAACCCCGCTCTGGAAAAAGCATGACGAATTAAGCCATAAATCTGCACTTACCTGAGAAGTAAAATGTAGTAGAACCTAAAATATGGTAAGCTACAGAAAAGCTAAATCTCAGAGAAAAATGAAAATCGATTAAAACTGTCCAAAAAGAAATAATTTCATGCTAGCTATAAAATTGCACGGATTCTCCAGAAATTCAATTTTCAAGTCGGTTTCTCCCCTATTAATAAAATTCACCCTTCGATTCTAAAAGATTGCGTTTCTGTCTTGAATTCTTGGGGAATTTATAGTATAATCTTGTCAGTGTGGTTTAAGATATATTGGCCAAACAAAACGCGTTGAAGTTTCGTATCAAGGAACATGATCTTATTCAAAAGGCGAATAACAGTCTTCATAGCGTATCATAGTTTGGAGAGTTACCACAATTTTGGACTTTGGGTCAGGAAAAATTATCCAAGAAGGCTTCTTCCATGTTAATTGGATTTTTTGAGGCTTTTCATATTCACAAAGATTTAGGCATCTATTAATGATTTTAAGTCCAATCCATCCGTTCCTAACGTTAAATCTACTATCTTAATTCGTTATTATTTTTGCCGATAGATGGCGTTATCTCCTCGCATTTGGTACGACCAGAGGGTATAAAAATCTGTTCAGTGGTTGCTTCCATTTTCGAAGTTCAGATTTTGAGCGTGAGTGCATTGCCCCCGCTCCCATTTTAACTTTGCTAATTTTCTTTGTCCTTTAGCTTGATCAGATAGCCTGGCTCAGTAAATTGGCGGCCATGTAACTCTGATTAAAAATCCGACTACTTTTCTGAGATTCCTCCCCTTTATTTTCTTGCTTTCTAGTATTCTTCTCCTGATAGGAGATCCTTAGCTGCCCTCGAAATCGATTGAGTGTTTCAATATACTTACGCTAAATACAAGGTTGTTTTTACGATTTTGATTGATTTTGAAAATCCTTTCATTTCAGGGAAAGGAATTTGGGAGATGTTTGGCGCATTAAATCGGGGGGGGGAGGTAACCAATAGGAAGCAAATGCATTTCTAAAACGAAGGCCCAGGAAACTTGAAAGGTATAAGACTATGTTAGCAGAAAACTGCGCTGCTGAGCACTAAAAAACTTCAAGAACTTCCTAGTGCGCAGTTTCTTACAAAAGCACATGTATCAAATATATTAATGTCATAGCAACATTCTCTCACGAAGAACTCAATTTACGTGCTTAAGCCTGAAAAATAACTGGAGATAACTGATAAAAACAAAGTTTGAAAACTGAAGAAATCATTATATATGTTACCGTGAAAGACCGAAATTGGAGAATGTCGACTTTCACCGGAGAATGACAACATTCACCAAATACGTCGGTGAAAGATCGAATATTGCATTATATTCTTGTACATTCGGACCCTCATCGGTGTATGTCGAAAATCACAGATATGCTCTGGTGTAGGTCGAAAAGAGAGGAGTATATGTACACGCTGTCATTGCAAAAGGAAGTGTTCCACAAGTAAATACAGTTGTAAAAGCAAGGGCCTCTTGTGCAATTCAAAGTGTCATAATAGTTAAGTTGTTGCAATAAATAAGATTTGAATCACATAATTTAGTAAGTTTTTAACTTCTAATATTTTCCTTTCTAATATTTTTTTTCCTATTATTTTGAATGTACTGTGTGTTTTAATTCTTATTTAAGTTTGAAGTGCGTTTTTTTTTTTCGCGACTGAATTACGGAGAGAAAATATAATATTCTTATGTGTTCAACATTCACCATTAATACATGGTGAATGTCGACATTTACCGGTGTAAGTCAGAAATAAGACCATTTGGAAAATATTTCGGATATACACCAAGCGACTATGTGAATGTTGACATTCACCGGTGAAAGTCGACATTCTCGAGATTTCGGTGTTTCACCGTAACATATACACTAAAACAAGCAGCTAGAGCTTGGAATCCAAAAATTAGTAAAATAGTTTTAAATATATTCTTTAAAAGTCAAGAAAACCCTTGTTTATTTCGGAAAAGTCCAATACATAATACTATATTTAAGTAATATACTTACAGGAATAGTTCATTATGCCAAGCCCTCGAGGGTTATCTGCATGTGAGAAGGGATGCTTTTATGGAAGACGTTTTAAGTAAAACGAATTCATACTCATGTCACATATGGGAAACCACGAAAATACTCACGCAGCCTGCTCATTCACCTGGTATTGAACCCAAGTCGAACTACCGTGTGATATACTTACAGGAAGTAAGTGAGTAACTGTGCTAGTATACCGGAGTTTACATGCTTCATTTTGGCTTAGTTCTTTATGTGGGAGAAACAGATTCTCATAAACATTAAAAAAGGGGGCGGGACAAAAAACTCTGACACGAAGCCTTGCCAATCTCGTGCAACCCCAAAATGGATGAGCTTTCTCAGCTCACTAACCATAGGGTAGGAATTATACAAGTTTGCGGTCTGACTGTTTGCCACTTTGGACGCACCATGAGGATATTAAGTAAGAACTCGATTTGTATATTTTTAAACCCCCAAGGTCGAGCTTGCATGTCTACAGATTTCAGACAGTACTATAAGGTATATATGTAGGTATGACGCTGTCCACCCTCCTGGCAAGCCCAAGCTCACCTTATGGCTTTTCTAAACCGACCACGAAGGAAAAACATATAGGACAACAAAACATAAATAAACGAAGTCTGCAGTATCAGCCATATTGGGTGTTCTTTGTTATTGTTCAATATCCAATTGCGACCAAGATTGTATTATTTCCGTAATCTCTTTTGCGATGATTTTTGCTTCATTTGTATATAAACCAGGTCTTTAAAGTCCTTTTTGCTACTCCTAAGGTCTTTTGTTAATTCACACTCTTCCACATAGTGCCTGTTGTCACATTTCCCAGCTTTCCGCATAGTAAACATTTTGCATTTTCTTGAATTTTAAATCTATTTAGGTAAACCGGAAATCTACCGTGACTTGAAAGAATCTGACAAAGATCTTTATCGGTTATAGTTTTATTTCTCCCACTTTCTTTGCATGCCTTCGTGATGTAATGGCCAGAACACTCAGCGCCTATCGAGAGGTTCTAGTCCCGGCAAGGGCACTGCTTATTTTTCATCGCTCCTGTTGCGAAATAACCTCATGTCTGTACAGTACAAGAAATGAAGACGAGTAAGCTACAACTAAAAATGGTCAGACAACTAAAATGGAAATTATTATACGTCATAGCATCTGCTGTTCAACTACAGCAGAGTAAAAAAAGACGTAAATCTTCTAATGGCAAATTATAATACAGAAACCGAATACATCGTAGCCAGCGCAGCTCAGAAAGCACAGTGGCTAATAAATTTGCTTCAAGATTTAGGAATTCAGAAAAATCTTCCAGTTACGCTCTCTAAGGATATTGTCATACATCAATCCTTCGCAATTAGAGAAGAATAATTTCAGATCAAAACATGCATAGTAATAAACATCATTATTAGAGTGATCTCTGACAAATAGAATCGTAAGCCTGGACTTCCGACATGACTGCCAATCTGCTTACCTAAGCGTTACAAAAATACCAGTTCCAGAAACTTAGTCACTTCAAATGATGACCTTGTTCATTAAATATGGACGTAGATCATAATATTGGGTACACGGTAGACAAATTCTTCCCCTACTCGGTATAGCTTGTCCGCCGCGACTATCTGCAGTGCACTTTTATCCGACCACAAACTTCATCAAGGGACACGGGCATTAGTGGTACATAAACTTAGTCTTTTACAAACCTCCAAAGAAAGAAATATCATGGTGTTAAATATGGCGAACAGGGTGGCCAGAGGAGAGGTTGTTGTCTGCTGTTGCAGCACATCCAATCCAACGCTTAAAAAAAACAATTAAAAAAAACAATTAAGAAGATCTCGCACATTCCTGTGGAAATGGGGCAGAGCATCGTCCATTTGCAAAATGCAATCATCATTATTATACTTCAGCCAAGGTTAACAACCAGGTTTCCAACATTTCTAGAAATGAGTCACCGATATCAATTTCTTGTTCGAAAAAAAAAATGTGCCATGCACTTTCTCGCGAGACACCGCACAAAAACGTGCACGAAACTCAAGCTGCACTGAAACCACAGGTTTGGAAACCTGAAAACAGAGCACACAGAAAGCTTTTTCCTGTTGAGACGCCATCTTGGAAACTGATGTAGGTATTGCACAGGTAAGGGCATCGATTTATTATTAATTTTTTTATCATTTATAAACTCCCTGTACTTCATTCCGGTTCTATTTCAGTACAGAAGTGTAAGACTGAAAATCCTTCTCTTCTTTACCTTCATATTATTGTGAAACGTGCCTGTTTTAAAAACATTCGTAAAAATATTTAATTCATATAATAAATGTGGTAACTCGCTCCTATAACTCGTCCGCCTTTTCCTAAATCTGGCAACAGCGACAGCAGCGAGATACTTCTTCAAGCTGCGTGAGGAAATGGAGAGACTTTCATTCCGATGAGGTTACGACACAGTGATGCAACTGAACTATGCTGTTCGACGATTGTTGATGACGATATAATTCGTTCATGATGAATCAACTTTTACCTTATTTCCTTTATTTTGTAATACCAAATCCTGTTTATTCTTCATCATAAATACCTTTAAAAATGTCACTGCCTTCCTCTATTTTAATCCTAACCTCATCCTACATAAATTTATTTGAACTGTAATCATTACGCCTTTATACTCTTTATTCTAATGTGTTTCTGTTAAATAAATGCTTTTCACACTGAGCCTCTGAGATAAATGCATTCCTTCTGTTTTGATCTAACTCAAATTAGGAGAAGTACTCATTTAAATTTTAGCACCTTTGAATACGTATGCTCTAAAATTTCAATACCATGTCTTCTGTGAACTCATATAAGGTCAATCCATGTGATAACGTTAAAATACATACATTATTATTTCATTTTCAGAAAGCGCTTAACATCTTTCAACGGCAATAAATTATTTTAAAATCTTCAATAACATCAGGAAACTTCAGATGAGTTTTATAGTCTTGTTGTGTGTAAATTAAGAACAATAAATGCATTCTATTGTTTATTTTTGTGATTATGCATCACATCCAGGCAGCTAAAAATCTACAGAAAAATTGGATTCCGTATTTTTATTTTATGCCTTTATTGCCATAATGTATAAAACATTTTGCCGTTTGAAATTTACGAGTGCTTCATTTTAAAAACATTGAAACTATTTTTTTACAAATTAGTGAAAACGTTTTTCGAGGGAAAGACTATACAGTAATTACACCAAACAATTTGGAAAAAAAAAAAAGAAAGATTTCTATAAAAATAACAGAACTGTAAAATTATGCTGAAATCTGTAGAATACTACGTTGAAGGAATTTTATTACCTATGACTCTTTCACCCAAGGCCATGAGTTTTCCAAAATCTTCATTAAAAGCGTTTCTCTGCGTTTGGTCCATAGTTTCTTCATTTCCATCTAAAAGTAACGAATCGCAGAAATCTAGAATTATTTCAGGTGCCCCTTTCATACAAAGCAAGTAACTGCTGTTCTCGTTTTCCGATTGTTTCATCTCGTGAATAGTTGCCTATAAGATAAATAACATTAACGATTTACTTTTACAGATTTCATAAGCAACAAATCTATAAGTTTTGATTTAAATATTTAGAGTATGGTGAAAAGAGATAGATACATACTTTATTTTCTTAAATATTGCCTCTAGATGTTCATTTACATATATGTAATTCTCAGATATATATAATTCTCAAAATAAAGTACAAAACTTCATTCAAACAGTTTTTATTACGAAAATATAAAACTTAGCTTTTTATTCTCCCATAGTAAAAATTGCGGCTAATGAGATATTCATTATGCTTTAACAAGGCATGTAAGTACTATAATTTCCGTACCTTGAACGTGAAGATTTACGTTGATATTCTTAATGAATGTTTTCATGAGACTAGTCATGAATTTATTAATGGATGTTGTTTTTCCTAACACGGAACCATTAATCTCTCTAATGGGCGAATTTTGATTTGCAATTTGCTCCATATTTTGTAAAAAAGAGTTGAATTTTAGCTGGTTTCAAGCAATGAAAAATATTCTAAGTCCGTAAATTCGGTTTTCAAATATCTCCATAAATCTTAAGCACGAAGACATGAAACTTCTTCAGTTTAACTTCATAAAACACGATGAACGCATATTTTTGCTCTTTGGGAAAAGACAGAAAGCTAGCATTTGCAGAATGCTCTAGCCCACAGCTTGAAATTCCTGAAAAATCTGTACTTTATTTTGAGAAACTTTGCATTTGGAATTATATCTGTGATTGTAACCAATCCTTTAGTATAAACTTTGCTGTTAATATAAACTGTTGGACTAACTGTAGCAACGAGGGCCAGCTGAGTTATCCAACGGGTGTGGATGCAGATACTGTTTCTGAAAAAGAAACTGAGCAAAAGCCAAGCAAAAATTCTTGCAGTTAAACATTAACGTTGGGTGTAATTATGAGGGGGTAGTTTTGGATGGGGTCATAAAAGAGTCCTTTATAGTGTAACAATAATTTATTAACAGGTTTAACTTACACCCGGACATTACATTTAACTTTACCACAGGCACCCCCGTTGCTACAGTTAGTCCAACAGTTTAAATTAGCAGCAGAGTTTATATTAAAGGATTGGTTACATGATCAATATTTAAACAAATAAACCTATACTCACGTTTCTTGAACATTCTGTACGTATGCTGAGGTGTATTCAAACTTATAATAAAGATTCAGCTGTTACTTGGAACGAATTGCAATAAATATAACCTCATACATTTCAAATGACAGCCTGATTGCTGTATGCAATAAAGCAACTAATAATGTAAATAACTTTAAATTTCATTAAAAGTTGTATAGGCATACTTAAATCATTTAAGAATATGACTTAGTGTTAGTTTGTTAGTTTAAGTGAGGCATTATAAATGCTGTTGTTAATAATAAGAATAATATAAATATCCATTAATACTTCAAAATACACTCTGTCCCAAATGTTTATAGACTTTAGTATATTACGTGTTTTACAAAAAATGGGAAGGAACACAAACACCAGATAAAAATCTGTTTATTTACATCACATGCGATTTGCATTCCAGTAAATATGAAACTAAAATAGCAATTTGTATTTTCGAAAAATAAAAACACAGAAGAATATGCGTCCCGAAAGTTTGTAGAATATTAACATTTTAACAACTTGTAATTAATTTCAAATTAGTTAATACTTCGAAGTCGCCCCATTATCCTGTATGACGTCAAATACACGTTTCTCCATCGAGAAAACTAAGTTCTATAATAACTCTGGTTCCACATCGTACTATGCACTCTCGACGATTGTTTTTAAGGCATTCACGGAAGAAAATTGCCTTCCATTCTCGTAAACACTCCGAAACGTAATACCCATTCTCGATCAGGTTAAAAGAGGGGCTTACTGATGGCTACTCAAGAAGAGTGATATTTTCCATTTCTAACTACGTTTTTGTAGCATTTAGAGGTATGAATGTGAGCACTGTCATGCTGGTACACCCATTTCTGTCCTCCAGTGTTTTCTGCCAATGGTATAAGATCGTCTCTTAGTGTTTCTAAGTATTTAGAAGAATCTTGCCGACCATCTAGAAAGGTGTGAAACCCACTTGTCCGTTGAAACCGTAAGCTGCCCGCCCACACTATAACAGATCCGCCTCCACTATTCCTACTGAAATAACTCCGAGGCTATTTACGTAAGTCATGCCAATAATAGGAATACCTGTCAAGACCATTTAGATACCATTTTTCTCCATCACTGAAAATTACAGAGATCCATTTGTCACCATACGTCGTGTACTTACAGGCCCATTGCAATCTCATTCATTTGTGAAGCTCTGAGAGCTTTGATCGAGCTATTTTTACCTGAATCATACAACCAGATTCCTTGATTCGCCTATGAACAGTGTTTTTGGATATTTGCAATCCGCAAGAGCTTGTATTTTGATGAATGGACTTTTTCTGTGTTGAAGCGATTCTTTGTATTCTCCTATAGCTGCGACTATCCGTCACTGGAGGTCTTGCTGAACTTGGTTTTGGCTGATGTGGTATCTTACGAGACATTCATTATACGATAGATTATGCTTACAAATCGATTCAGAAATTTCAAAATTTCTTTAATAGACATACCGTGCAATTTAAAGTTCAAAATCCAATTAACTTCAGCATCATAAAGTTGCGTAGCTTTAGGCATACATAAACGCAGTTTAAATATCTTTTTCAAACTTTAGGTTTTAATGAGGGCATTATCATATAAAATGCTGGAATTCTCCATCATGACTGTTGCTAACCAATTTGCATAAATTAACATTTGCCTATAAACTTTAGGGACACTTTTTCTATTTTTTACTTTTTTTAAAAGACAAATTGATATTTTTGTTAAATATTTATTCAGATGCAAGGCCCAAGTGTTTTTAAATAAACATATTTTAATTGCGTAATTTTATATATTTCTTTTTTCTTAAACATGTAGTTTACTTGAGTCTATAAACTTTCGGGACAGAGTGGGATCCATCACAGTTTACGTACTAAATCCTACCTTAAACTTGGTTCCGGCTTACTGACGGGTTTTTAACTTCTGGGATTCGAAATACATTGCAATACGTTATATATTTTTTAGCACAATATGTTTTATTTTTTACTACAAAAATGTTCCTTCATGAATGTGTAGGTGAAAACCGAAGAATTAGCTTTATTATTAATTATTAATGTTATTAACAATAATAATGGAGCACTAAAATGCCTCAAATTAAAAAAAAATAGCTTTATCATACCAGCAACAATAACGTATATCATAATTTGCCTTAAAACTAGATGCTGCAAACTAACTCATTTTTAAATCTTGGAGCTCAAAATTTATTTGAAATAAGTAACAGTTTAAGTAGCATAAAAGAATTATTTATTAACATAAACATATTATTTTGTAAATATGTAGACAAAAACTGATAAATCCGCTTTATTGCTGCTTTATCCCATTGAAACGTTCGACCACTGTCTCGAAGCTTATCATGGAGACCGTCAGCATGCATTATTACAAGATATGTTTGTTAAGCTAATCATAACTCTGTCCGTGGAATACATTTCACGAGCATGAATTCAAACAGCGTTAGTGTATGAGGCATATCACTATAGGTAATTCATAATGCTAGAACAAGGAAATACAGTAGGTTACCACCTCTGTTATCCTAACGCTGTCTTAATGCGAAACAGGTCTATAACAATACAAATGATACAGATAAAGTTCTTTCCTGTCTTTCTGAAACTGAGAAAGTTAGTATTTCATATCATATAGGGGAATAAGATAAAGAGCAGAAAAATTATAACGTATTTCTCCCTCCATCTTAGCATGCCTTCGGGGTGTAATGGTCAATACTCTCGGCGCGTATTCGGGAGGTACGTGATTCGAGTCCTCGAGAGGACACTGCTCATTTTTCATGACTCCTGCTTGAAAAAAAAATCTTAATGTTACAGTGCAGCCCTAACTAAAAAAGATGATGGATGATGTTTCTTCACCACCAGGATTTGGCGATTGGGTCCCCTAATTCCCAACCCCCCCTTTAAAAAAGAGAGTATATAAGGTATTTCTTCCGCCTTCTTAGCAGCCTTCGTGTTGTAATGGTCAGCACACTGGGTGAGTATTTGAGAGGTCCGAGGTTCGAGTCCCGGCGAGCGTTATTGCACATTTTTCATGTCTCCTGGTTCGAGATATCGATCCTGGTTCGAATGTCTCTACAAAGTATATGGTGTATTTTCCCTTCATTTAAACTGAAAACGGTTATTAGTACTTCACCGTATGACATAAATCCTTTGCTATCGTTTCTTGGTTCAAGTTCTATGAAAACATTTAAGAATAATAGTAGCAGGAATTTAATAAAAGCAGGAATTAAGGTAAATCTGATGACACTAATTTGTTCCCACCTACCTGAGATACATGTCTATTAGTGGTCAAGATCACTGGTAAATCATGTGGAATCCGTTTTAAGGCGATTAGGTTGCCTACATGTGGATTGCATGGTATTCTACATATTAAATTAAATGCGAGTCAGTTCATACATTATATATTAGTTGAGTACTTGACTAAGAAAGACAGCAAATATTTTTCAAGCCTGCGCAGAGAGGGGAAGGATGAGATGTAGCTCACGACACAACATTTAGCAGTAGATGATGATGAAAACTTTTGAAGAAATATAAATTCATTTTATAACTCGAACACACCTTTATTACTTGTTGATCACATTATAAGATATTTTCCCTCCTTCTAGCATGCCTACGTGGTGAAATGGTAGCACACACGGCACGTATTCGAGAGGTTCGGCTTCGAGTGCCCGCGAGGGCATTCCTCATTTTTCCTCTCTCTTGCTTCAGAATAAACTAATGACCCTACAGCACTATTCAATTTTGTATTCAAATCTCGTATATGCTTGTATGCAATCATTATTGAGAATAACATATTTTGAATATGTATGATATGTATGAATATATGTATGAATTTTGAATATATATGATAAACCGAAGTGGTACTTCACTTGAAACGAGTATTATCGAGTGAAAATATAGAATCATATAATAAGAGATTAGAATAAAATAATGCACCTCATACTAAGGCTATTTTTATTATATCTACTCGTGATATTTATTTTATCTAGCCGTAAAACAGAATGCCTTAGAACTCTTTTATTCTGCAGGACTAGGAATGTTGTAAGAAAATTATTGCATAAATGTATAACTAGTTTGAAGATAAAAAGCTGTCTGCAAGCAATAGAAAATTTACCCATTAACTCAAAATTACTCCTTCAAGAGTATTTAATAAAACAGGGGTCGATTTTTAGGGCCCTTTTCACCATAAAGGCTTTTTCAGGTGGATCAACGAATTTTAACATGTGTTTTATTTTTATACATTTTACTGTTATGGCTGTTCATTTTGAAATCGTTCATGGATTAATCTGTGAAGCCTTCCTTGGTGCATTAAAAAGATGCATAGCGCGTAAAGACAAACCTTCTGAAATTTTAATGATAATGGCACGAGTTTCGCAAGAGCCAGTCATGAATTACGTAAAATTCTGGGGAATTTGTTCAATGCGGAAAAGAAAAAAATAAGGATTATTACTGCTAGACAGAGAATAAAGGAGGATATTAATCTACCTTCAGCTCCTCGTTTCAGATGCCTCACGGAGGAAAGAATAAAATCACCGATATACCATTTAAAGCCATCACGAACAGTTTTTGACACTACTCACTAAAAACTGAGGCAATGTTTAATTCAAGACTTCTTTGTCTTCTACCTAGTGATTATAATGAGGTTTCAGTCTTCCTCCCTGCACATTTCTTAGCAGGATCCTCTTTACTCGATCTTGATCATCTTGTAATTCAATCAATAGATGGTAACTTGTTCAAAAATTAGCGCATTAATTTGAAAACGTGGTCAAATAAATACAAGGTGGTTATAAAAACACTTCCACGATATATGAATTCTTAGCAGCCTATCCATTCAACCACTAGAAATAAAATTTCAGATATTGTTATTTGAAAGGTATGCACTCGAGATAATGGTGATTTAAAATAATAGAGCTCTTACAGTGAAAAAATGCTGAAATATTCAAATGGCAACCCGCAGCGCAAACTGATCGGGAATTGCAAAAACGTAAATGGCGTATAAGATATTTCTCTCGCCTTCTTAGCATGCCTTTATGGTGTACCTGTCAGCACGTTCGGTGCGCGTCGAGAAGTTTGTGGTTCGAGTCCCGGCGAGGACACTGTTGATTTTTCGCTTCTGCTGCTTCGAAATAACCTATTGTCTCTACAGTGGCGCCCGAACTAAAAAAGGTGGTAGGTGATGATTCTTCACCGCCAGGACTTGGCGACTGGGTCCCCTAATCCCCAGTTGCCCTTTAAAAGGGGGAGTATATGAGGTATTTCTCCCAACGTTCTTAGCATGCTCTCGTGGTGTAATGGTCAGCACGCTCGGTGCGTACCGAGAGGTCCGTGGTTCGATTCCCGGCGAGGGAATTGCTCATTTATCACTTCTGCTTCAAAATAGTCTAATTTCTCCACAGGAGTTAGAAAGATACACGTATGACGAACATTGCCGGCGTAAAACATTTGCAAAGGAAAGCGTTGTAAAGTACCAATGACAACCCAAAAGAGCACACGGAAGAAAAAAAACTTTACTGGACTTAGGAGTTTTCAATAGGCCCATCTTCGCATATGATAACGGATTGCATGCGAGTGATTATTGACAAAAATGACGAAAGTAACATTGCAGGAAGATTCTGTAGAACTTCACGTTTTGTAACATCTTTCAATTCTGACAAATCTCGTGCATTTAATGCGTACATCTTAGATTTCAGATAACTCCAGAACCAGAATCAAGGTCTCTCATAAAACTGCAGTTTCGTGGACACCGCGATCCCGACCTCACTCCGATGGATTTCTGGTTCTGGGGCTGCCTGAAATCTAAATCACGAAATGAAATCATCAAATCTATTCGAAATTCGACTATTGCCATTCGAAAACTTCGAAATAGTTTCCCTGTAACCATTACCATGATAGCCTTAAGGTTGTAAATCATCATAATCTCGAGAACATGGCTTCAAATAATAATATCTGAAATTTTATTTAGATTGATTGAGCGGTCAGGCCGCTAGTGATTCATATATCGGGGAAGTTGACCATTCTGTATTTAAATAGTTTCAACAAAGACTGAAGTGGTCCAGAGGACTAGTTAAATTTAAAGAACATGATGTCGTATTAGTTAAAGACTCTAATGATGCAGGATATTTAAAACAGCATTTTGCAAGAATTGTCAAAACGCACCAGGTTTAAGATAATGTTGTTTCATAGGTGATATTTCATCAGTATAATGTTATATGATTTTGTAAAACTTTTGTCTTAAAATATTTTAATGATTAAATATTTATTTAAATTATTGCAGTGTCTATTCGTCATTACAACAGGAGGAGAGGGCAGAATCTTTGCTCGATGCGACTGCATTTGAGGTTTTAACATTTCGTCAACCTTGGAGGCTGATGGTTTGGAAGTTGGGTTTGATGAAACGTGCATCGAATGTTCTTGGATGGAGTAGCAGAATTAAATTTTTTTTTCAGTTAAATAATAACCATGTGATTGAATTGAATAAGTAAATCCTTATTTGTATTTTTTGAAAACTACAGTACGTTTAAATAAAGGATTTCGAACTTCATTTTCATTTTCATCTGATTGGTCTATTAAACATTAACGAAAGAAATAATTTTAAAACTTTTGAGCGCGAAAAGAAAATTAAAAGCCTTGTTTATGAAAAAATTACATGGTACTTCTTATTGGAGGTAAAAGGCACATCATAAGCCAAGGGATACATTTTCCTGATGCTGTCAATGTCTTCCACTTTGGAGAGCAGGAATTCCATAATGGCGACTTCAGAAGGATCACATGAACAAGCACTGCGGTGAAAAGAAGATATTTATGCTTAAATTTTAAAGGAATTAAAATCGAATTTTTCGCAGTATAATAAATAATTAGTACTGCTATTATTATACTAAGGAATCTGGGAAGGAAGTTATCAGGTTGAGAAATAACTATAATAGTATTTTAATGAGTAAAATGATGCCAATCTCAAACATTTGCATTGCTAAAAGCCTTAACGTTAAGCAAGAGTCAACCAAAATTTTGAAATCACTTGAATGATATGAAGTAAATCTTTCTCTTCCTGTCGAAAAACCTCCCATTTGAATAGTCATAGATTGACTAAGGTGATGACGGATGTCGTCTGATTATGCGGTAGCATGACTTCAAAAGCAGATTCCTTAATCCCCAGTAATTGCTAATAATCGTTTCTCCTAATAAACTCAAACTATCAATGATGAATTGTGTTCGTGTAGGAAAAATGTAGTAATTTAAAAAATAAAACAAATTCCTGGTCATAATTTTTAAACCCATTCTTTACATTTCTGCACAGTCTGATTTTGTCGAAGGTTTGGTTAAATTATTCAGATATACCAAAGCACGCAAGAACTGTTTGCCTAAGAGAAGGGATGCTTTCCTGGAGGACTTTTGGAGTAAAATTGTCTCGTATTCATATGACCAAAACCACAACACTGTCAGCGAGCGGGTGTTGTATTTGGCGGAGTGGCCTGACCTAGGGCGATTAACCAGAATTCAGCGGTCTCAACCCCTCGGCCACTGATGGGACGCAGTTTTGATGAAAGATGATATCTCCGCTAAATAATACAATTGCAATAAAAGGTGCAGCTTATCAACCACATATTTTAGGCAGGTGTGATATGTCAGCGTTTATACTTGCAATACAATGAATCCACGAATAGCCCAAAACGTACTTTTCAGATAATAGCGCTTCTTCCTTCCGACTAAGTGCATTCTATAATGCACACAAGTAACACGGAAAACATGAGCTAACGTAGCGTATGAGAACTGATTTATTAAATTACCGCTAATTACATTATAGACATTTGCCTAAAGCGTGGGATGCTTTCATGAAGACTCTGTAAGGACAACCAGGCCCTTACATATTCTCGTTAGACACTAGGAACACCACAAAGACGCCCGTGCAACCTACTTACTGGATGGGATTTGAAAGTGAACCGAACTGTTAATGCTGAGTGGTCTTCGCCGCTACACCGCAAGTTGTGAGAACGCCTGTCTACATGAATGAAAACAAAGAGATGAAATTAATTTGACCTGGTGATTTTCTTTCAATCATCAACGGTTTAATGTCGATGTTTAGAAGGCCACTAACGCTGTTTATGGTGATAGAGACCTATCAGTTATAGTACATGATTTGGTCTGCAACTATGAAAAACCGTGTCCAGTAATATGTAACACATACGATGTATTATCCATTTGAACAAATTAAAATTAGGAATAGCATCGGCGGTCACAATATCCTTCTTAGCAATGCGAGTAAGAGGCACATGATGAGCAATGACTTTGTTATCCGATAAAAAGGCAAAAGCCTCGCACGCCACACTAACACCTTTTAATATGTCATCTATTTCAGTCAATCTTTAGCTATCACATAAAAGATCACCAGTGTAAAGAAAAGCGTGTTTGGAGATGTTTCTAAAAAAACATGTTATGTAAAGATGTGGTCTTTTCTCAAATGAAATGAGTTTTGTTTCTATTCACATATTCAGGTTTTTTTAACGTTTTGTGTGTTACCTTTATTATTAAATATCCTATTCTTACCATTTGAAGCACAAAATTCAATCCAACAGCAATATCGTAAAATATTTAAAGAAGCATATCTTTAGAATTTCCGATACACAGTCTCGCGCGCTGGAGATAATTTTTTTTTCGTACAGTTTCGTAAAAAACACCCCTTTGGGCGTACTATAAAATCTGAAAGCTTTCAGATTTTTTTAGTATTATTTTTATAATTTTAACTGTTTTTGAAATTTGTATGTTTAAATCTGAAAATATAAAATCTAAAAAAAAAAAAAAAAAAAAAAAAAAAATCTGAAATGTATCATCGCTCGCTTTAAAAGAGTTGAGTTTCGTAATCAAAAACTCATAAATTCTTTACAAAATATGAAATAAATAATGAAACAAATTCGAAATTTGGGCTTCCAGATGCCCATATTCAGGTGGAGCCGTACGTTATTCAAACTTTGATGACTCTAGGTACCGTTGTTTTACCACAATGCGAGAAACATACATATATTTATGCAGATTCTTCACTATTTAATTTCTTTAAATATAATACAAAACTCTAATATTTGGTGACAACAGTTTAAAACGTGATTCGCGGTTTGCAGTGAATCAACGCAAAATGCCAAAACTAAATTAATAGCCATTCTGGGCCAACGTCTTTTGGGTTAATAAAGATTAAATTCGACCTTCTTCGTGGACAAACGAGAATGATTAAGAAAAGGTATTGAATATGACAGAATAACCGTTTCTTGCTGAGAAACGTTTTGCAATAAAAATATTTTGATCATCCAGTGAATAACTTTCGGGTACCATGGTCTTTCGGATCCGTTCCTCCAGGGAACACGAGGAGGTGAGATTTTAGAGTTAAAAAATTACCGAAACATTATCTTCAACCTCTCCTCGTAAATCCTATCTCAAACGCACTGGAAATGCTGTAGGAGACCATATTACGACCGAATGGTAATAGCGGTATTATTTATCTTAAAAGCGAAAATTTAAATTTTTGGAGAAACATTCTCGAGCAAAGTATACAGTGACAGACGTTATTAGCATTTAAGTAAAACACAATAATTAGGCATTTAATATATCCATGAAAGCAATAGTAAGCAGATAGGTACTTGCAATGGTAGATTTGATAAGGATTTAGAACGCACGGGTGAAACTTAAAAGATGTAAATTACCATTTAAAATTTCATTAAAACGATTTTTATATTTGCATAAGTCGGATTATAAAATCTAGAAAACTTGTAGGTTTTTGTCATCCTCTGATTTATTATACACGACTTTTAGTCTTTTGTTAAAACTGTCCAAAGAACTGTAAGTTAGAGATGTTGTTATTTCTTTTTTTAACACGACCGTTAATGAAAACGTTTTAGGAAATTGAATGTTTGCTACCACGAGAGCTGCCTAAAAATTATTTTAATTTTCAATTTTCAAATGGATGAAATTTTCTTCTATTCACAGTTTAAAACTTTTCCATTGAAATTTTTATTTTCTATGTTATTATTAGTCCAAAGGGGCCTTTGTCTCTGAAGGACTATTGTTTTTCGCTTTGCGATTTTGTGTTGAATCACTATAAATGTCGTTTCACTTTTCAAAATGTTGCCACCAAATCTTAGAGTTCTGCATTATATTTGAAGAAATTAAATAATGAAAAATCCGCATAAATGTATGAATATTTCTCACATTGTGATAAAACAACGGTACATAGAGCCATCGGATTTTGAATGTGTGTGTGTGTGATTATGGCAAAGCCTCGAGGGCTAACTGCCTAGGGGGTGGAATGCGTTCATGGAGGACTTTCTAAGGGAAACTGGCTCGTATACACATGGGGAAAACCACGAAAACGCCCATGCAGCAAGCTCGTTCGCGGGATTCGAACCTCGGACCGAACTACCAGTGTTCAGCTACTTTACCCGGCCGCTGGTGGGCCCCGAATTTTGAATGACATAATCCTATAGCGATTATGGGCATGTGGAATCCCAAATTTGAAATTTGGTTTATTATCGATTTCATATTTTGTAAATCTTTAACGAATTTTTGACAAGCAAACTCAAGGATTTCAAAGAAAGCAATGGCAACGTTGTACAGAAAAAAAAATTCTTTCCAGCGAGCGAGACTGTATCGGAAATTCTAAAGATATTTTGTTATATCTCAAAATTATTTTGCGATGTTGCTCTTGAACTGAATTTTATGATTTAAGTGCGAAGAATGTGATATTTAATAAATAAAGGTAACAGACAACATTATAAAAAAACGCCACTTTGGACGTAATTTAAAATCTGAGACCTTTCAAATTTTCTTTTTTCATTATTTTTATTTTTTATTGAAATTTTTATTTTTTGTATACTAGTTTAACTTTTCTATTTAAAGTATGGCTCTAGCATCAAAGTTTCAAAACCCAAAACTTCTGTTAATGTTATTATAAGGCTTTGTAGAGTCTGTTAGGCTTTTCAAAGCACGAAGCGCAGAAAGTCAGTAATCACGGGATTCAAACTCCTAAGCTTCCTATTCCTAACCTTACACTACTGCAAGCCTTACACTACGAGAGCACAGAATGGAGACACCGGAATTTATTTAAAAAGGAAAACCAATCAACGTGAAAGTTCTTGGCAGTAAATGCAAAGCAAAGAGAAAAGCTAAATAATCTATAAACCTAAACAATCTAAGAGTCGGCTCGCTGTATAGTCATTTTGAGAATTCTCAAATAAAGACTAAAGTGTTCAGACAACAGAACAGAAAGTGAAGCTGAGTTGGCTGAGGTAATTTCGTCAAAGTTTTCTGTGACTATTTTGCGAAATGTATTAACATGATTTGATTTGTAGAGTCATATATTTTCATTATACTTATAAAATTTGACTAACTTCATATGAATTCATGATTTTATATGTTCACCATTTACCCTATGTTATGTGCGAAAGAAAGACTGAATTTTAAGATTATTTATACCAAAACAGAAGAAACAATGATCTGATAAAATATTAATACAGGTTCCGCCAGGTATGGTTAATCCTTAGAAAACTGAATTCTTCGCTAATCTGTTCGCTTAAAATACTGAAACCACCGTCCATTACTCATCCCGTCCGTTTTCTCCCCTTCCCGTCTATTACTGCACAAATAGGTGTGAAGACTTCAAATGACATCCTTTTTACTTCCTAACAAAGAAGCTTCCATTAGCCTTTTTAGGTAAGTTTTCTGCAATAAACTGATGCAATGCATTTGGACAAACTGCACCAACTACTGCATACCTTAATGGAAGGGAAGAAAACAGCAT